AGAAATTCTTTCTCTCTCATATTGCCAACTGCTGAATTGGTCCCACACAAGAATCCTCCGTGTACATAATAGCCGTGTCAAAATAACTTCGTTTTGGCAAAAGGAATCATTATGAATTTCCCAGCACCAGCATGGAGAGCTGTGACACGACCCGTGTCGGGTTAGGCCTCTTCTAGATCTTGTGCTGTTGCTCTGAACATTTTTACAACGGGTTCATAACTTGTCTAGGTATCAACCCGTCCTTCCCATGTGGATGATATCGTTACTCGTCCAGTTGAACATCTCAAGAGAGGAATAACAAACCAGTATGGAGGAATTTGTGTGTACGTTGTTAAAGATTCGCTACTTAGAACAAACAGTTCCAAGTAGCACGGGTTATGGTGAGCCCGTAGTGCCTTTGTGTGTGTACGTCTGATACCATACTACTTGTGTAAAGGAGGAAATGTATATGTTAATCTCTCAGAATGTTCGGTAACATGTTTATTGCTTGTGATGTGTGTCTATGTATGTATTAACACGATGTACTGAACGGGGTGAGAATAGCTTGAGCTACCTCATCCCTTTGTGTGTAGTTTACCTCAATAAACTTATCTCAATTTCAGTATGGAGGAAGAACACCCCCCCCCCATCCCCCGTGGCCTTGTACGGAACAACACCCACTTTGCCAGCCAATCATTTATCTTGCGTTTATGTATACTGACACAAATACTGAAATCAGTCTTCCTACCTTCTAATTGAAATTATTGCAGCATTTTGAAACATTAATGTTTTTACATATGTAAATTCATCCTTGTTCTGCAACAAAAATTAACATAAGCATTTTGGGCAGCAGAGAGAGAGAGAGTTGCCAGGTGCAATAATATTGCTATCGAGGACCCTTCAAGGCCATACGCAGACGCTCAAGAAATAAGTGCAACTGAACTTTCTACACTAGCACATGTCTTAAGACAAAACTATTACTCTTGAAGAGGTTGAGGAAGATGAGTGTTGAGGTGGTCGATGAGCTGTGATGGTAACTGGCCAATCTCGCACGAACCGACACGTGTTGAATTAATTATGGAGGTGGTTGGCGGGGCCCCCCTTGTCATCACCTTTATATATATATAAAGTAGGTTGATTCGGGGGACCTGCTGCTTGGGTAACAGCTTCTCCCCCGAATCAACCTACCCTGGCTTTACACCCTGGTGAGGCCACTCCAGACCGACGACCAGAGCGTAACTCCATAGTCTCCTGAGACTGATGGATGCCTACTATATATGTATATATATATATATATATATATATATATATATATATATATATATATATATATATATATGACAATGTCAGACCACGGAGGAAAATGAAACAGGAAATTTCCTTAAGTACTTTCGTATATGAAATACATCTTCAGAAGGATATATATATATATATATATATATATATATATATATATATATATATATATATATATATATATATATATATATATGAAAGAAATGAGAGATGAATTATGAGAAAGGAGACAAGAAGATGTAGAGAAAATAGTACAGCAGGCGGAGAGGGATTGAGGGACAAAGGAGAAGGACTAGGATGAAAGGAAGATGGAGAAGAAGAAGGAGGGAAGAGTGAGTGAGGGTCAGGAAGAGGGGGAGAGGGAGAGGAGGGAGTGAGGGAGAGTTGCCAGGGAACGGTTTGGTCCAGAGAAGGGACAGGAAGAGAAGGAATGCAAGGCTGTTTGGTGCGTTCCTTGGTGAGGGTGTGTGGGAGGGAGAGTTAGTGGGAGGGGTGGGAGGGAGAGTTAGTGGGAGGGGTGGGAGGGGGAGTTAGTGGGAGGGGTGGCTTCTAGGAGGGAGGGGTGAGAGGAAGGACTGGTAGAGGAAAAGAGAAAATGCCAGAGGGAGGGAGGTACGTGATGAATAATGGTCCAAGGCTGATTGGAAGAATGGATTATTTATATATATATATATATATATATATATATATATATATATATATATATATATATATATATATATATATATATGTGTGTGTGTGTGTGTGTGTGTGAAAAACAAAATATATATATATATATATATATATATATATATACAGAGAGAGAGAGAGAGAGAGAGAGAGAGAGAGAGAGAGAGAGAGAGAGAGAGAGAGAGAGAGAGAGAGAGAGAGAGAGAGAGACAGAGAGAAAGAGAGAGAGAGAGAGGGGGGGGGGAAGGGCCAGAATAAGGAGATAGAGTTTAAAGTTCAAGTATCACAACAAACCAACAGACCAAACCCAACCCACCACACTATAAACAGCGAACACTAACCCCAATACTAATTACCCAAACTTGTAAATTATATATAGGAAGCTCTGTGATGCCACAAGTAATGGTGTGGCCACTGCTGCCCGTCCTCCTAAGGTCCTCCTAAGGTCCTCCTAAGGTCCTCCTAAGGTCCTCCTAAGGTCCTCCTAAGGTCCCTCCAACGTCAAGGAAACGGTCAATGTAAAGTGTCCTCCCCCTAACCAACCAGAGGACCTAAAACAGAAGACGGAACAGCAAGTCACTTTCGCCAGTCGCTTCCATTTTCCAGTACGACGGTTTTTGGCTTTAGGTAACGCATACGAGCGAAATACGACGTTCTTTGCAGGGAGGACAGGTTGCAGAGATGTCAGCCAGACAAAAGGCTTTGCAACAAACTCCTACTGGCCACAGACAACACCTTATCACACACACAGAGTCAAGAACCACCACTGAATCTTTGCAACAGGAACTCTTAAGAGACAGCATTCATCAGACCACTAACATTAAAGCTGTAACGCACACACTCAAACGTCAAGGTCGTAGGATGCTTATCGCGTCGAGTCGCGTAGGAATGGCTGGTAATGACACTGTAGTTGAAGGTTCAAAACTTGCAACTCAGAGGAGGAATGAAGACATTTATATACCACTATCACTGATTAAGACAATGATTAGAGATAAGAACATAAGAACATAAGAACAAAGGTAACTGCAGAAGGCCTATTGGCCCATACGAGGCAGCTCCTATCTATAACCACCCAATCCCACTCATATACTTGTCCAACCCGCGCTTGAAACAATCGAGGGACCCCACCTCCACCACGTTACGCGGCAATTGATTCCACAAATCAACAACCCTGTTACTGAACCAGTATTTACCCAAGTCTTTCCTAAATCTAAACTTATCCAATTTATACCCATTGATAGTGCAATGCAGATGATATAATGACCATAATGCAACAGTTGCAATTCCAGGATCTGCAAGACGGCACAAGTCTTCAACTATAAACCACTTAGTATGATGAAAGGGAGCAGTAGAACAACAGAAGTGCACTTACATCGCATCAGGCTTGGAAACCCGTGTGCATGGGAAATAGGTTTACAGGTTCCGGAAGATGAGAGGAAATGTCAGCACTGTGGAGAAATGCCCGACAGATCACTGGAACATTATCTAACACAGTGAATAGAAGGGAGTAGAAATAGCCTAAGCTACTCTATCCCTTATCTGGAACATTATCTAACACAGTGAATAGAGGGGGAGTAGAAATAGCCTAAGCTACTCTATCCATTTGAGATGTATTTCTTTCTTGTCTCAATAAACATACTTGAATTAACACAGTGAACGGTAGCAAACCAAATAATAATTTACGTAGTGCTTAATTGAAGGTGGATGATTGACAGTGAATGATTGAAGATGAATGATGGATCCAATTTATGTTTAAGTGGATTAAAAAACTAATTTTCGGATTTAACCTACATCCAAAATTTTGATTTTTTCTTTGGTTTGCCCTTACACATAAATTGGCTGTTTCATTGACCTTTAATAATAATAATAATAATAATAATAATAATAATAATAATACAAATAATGATGAAAATCATTACCATTTGTAAAGTAACATTTAAGTTATTTACCAAAAATATCACGAACCAAAAAAAAAAAATTCACAGCTTTAACTGCTATTTCAAATGGTGTCTTGCTCAGCTATTTGTAATACACTAAACTACAGGCTAATTAGCGGAAGTAGTTAGGGAGGAAAGGGACAAGGGAGGGGGGGGGGAGCTGGGATCGGGTCCTAGTGGAATAGTTGATAAGGATGTAACTAGCTGTGAGAGAGAGAGAGAGAGAGAGAGAGAGAGAGAGAGAGAGAGAGAGAGAGAGAGAGAGAGAGAGAGAGAGAGAGAGAGAGAGAGAGAGAGAGAGAGAGAGAGAGAGAGAGAGAGGGAGAGAGAGCAATAATGGAGAACGTATTACAAGTGTACAAACGTTATGCTACACAGGAAATGACATCACACTTTGGCCTGTCCTGCTATGTGAAGGTCGCCTTCTAAAGCCTGGGTGATACGACCTTACACTGTGGTGTACCACAGTGAATGATGCCACTTTACACTGTGGTACAGTGAGCCAAGTGTTCAGTGTTGCTCTCATCCAACACAGAAAAGAGATAAACTCGGGTATTTTTCATTTTAAATCTTCCTACTTACGATCTGTCGTTACACATTGCTGTAAACATTATCATATTTACACAGACGTAAATATGATAAAAGCGTGAGAAATGAGTGGTTGCATTAATCTATGAACGTTGGGAAGGCGGGGCCAGGAGCCTAGCTCGACCCTTGCAAGCACAACTAGACGAGTACACACACACACACACACACACACACACACACACACACACACACACACACACACACACACACACACACACACACACACACACACACACACACACACACACACACACACACACACACACACACACACACACACACACACACAAACACACACACACACACACACAAGATATATAAATAGAAAGAGAGGTTGGACAAACATTTCCACTGTTGTCCAAACAGCATCAGTGTTGGCCGGGCACCAGGTAATATTGGCAAAGTCTCGCTGGGGTAAAAACTGGGGGCCGCAACACTGAGCCCGGTCGCTATAGACGCCTCCACGACAACCCCCAGACACACTCTCAACAACACAATGGAATGACAATCATTTGGATATAATTGACTGACCTAGTACCGTGGAGTCGTCGACCTCAGAGAGGCCGTCGCCAGTAGAGGCCTCGTGTTCCCTCTTGATGCCTCTCGCCTCGTCGTGGCTATCCTCTATTATATTCTCTCTTCGTCCTGGTTGGCTCTTTCTCCTCTCCCTCCCTCGGAGCTCGACGCGCTCCATCACGCCCTGTACACCGCCTTCCGCACTCGATCTCAGATTCAACTGTAGTTCTGCAGGATAGTCGAGGGGAGACGGGAGTCGTCGGTGTTTAGACAGGTCCTGAGGAGCGTCTTCTAAGGGAATTCTGGTGATTTTGCGTTTCCCTTGCTCGGGGACGTGGGCTGTGGGCGGTTTTAGAGAAGTGTGGGATGCCTGATGCCTCGGTGATGGGTGGAGGAACTCTGGTGTGTATAAGATTGAGTCTGAGGATGTAGATAGGCTGGATTTGACCCTTCGACGTGGCTCTGACCAAGAGGTTTCACTGAAGCTCCTCTTGAAGACGCGAAGAGAGTTTGGTCGACATCCTGAAGGAAAGGAGGATGTCGTCGCGACGTCACTCATCCTTCTCAGGCTCCTGGGTGTCATGGTGTCACAAGGAGGTGACATCTGACACATCGAGGCTTGCTCCTTCGCCTGAGCATCTTTCAGGTCGATTCCTTCCTCGTGAGCCTCCAGCTGCGGGATGTACTCCGAACTCACCTCACCGCTGATGGCTATCTCCCCCATGCTGCGGATCACCACAGTCGCCACTTTGGCGGCCCTAGCACTGCCGTCCAATTTGGGCACTTTCGCCAGCTTTCTTTCCTTAAGAGCACTTCCTTTCGGCGCTCTTCTTAACTCTGAAATTAAAATTTCCCCCCTTTTGGAACCGTGTGTGACCGTCTGTGACAAAGAGGCAGCTACAGCCTGACACTTTGCTCCGCTCGCGTCACGGAATTAGTTCCTGCTTCTGATTCTAAAACAACACCTTAGGGTATTGGTCTCAAGACTTTGAAGGGCTCTTATGGGGCCATATCTAAACTCACAAGAAATACGTGTTTTGTTCTTGGTGTGTTTATAATGCATAAAGTTTCCGCCTTGACGCTCCAGGTCTTCTGTAACCTTCTCAGCGCTTTGATATGCCAAAGCTCTTAGAGATTTAAGACGCCGGTGAAGCTAGCAATAGATGCCCCAAGATGGTAGATAATCTGGGTATTATTTCCAGAACCTGAGGCAGTGCAGTGATTTTGTGAATAGATTATTTAAATAGACGCGTCGTACTATTGAATGAAGCTCAAATCATATATTTTTCTTAATGGGAAGTTGATTTAATTTGATTTACTTCATAAACTGCGGTAGTGGATCGTGTAGATGACTCAATCAGCTCCGTCGTGAGCCACATATATATTTACTTGAAGATCGCCAGAGAAGACCTTGACACCGCCTCAGAATTTGTAAATTAGTTCTCCCTTCGCTCTGAGACCTTGTCTGTGGAGTCTGGCGAGAGGCACTCGAACCGCTCTGCTCTGATCAGTCGATCTGAAACGGAGAGAAAATGATCTTAATACAGGCTGTTATCACCGCTGTTATCACCGCTGTTGATCATTGATTCTTCAATGGTTTCGGCAGATATTAATGTTATGATAGAACACTTTATCATGTGATTGTGTGTGGACACTACAATCAGAGTGAAATTGATGAAATATTATTCTGGCAGATTACTCATCTGCCAGAGACAGATGAGTAATCAAATTATAAGAACATAATAACATATAATAACTATCTACGGGCTCACCATAGCCCGTGCTACTTGGAACTTTTTGTTCCAGGTAGCGAATCTTTAACAACAAGAACATAAGAACAAAAGAACAAAGGTAACTGCAGAAGGCCTATTGGCCCATACGAGGCAGCTCCTATCTATAACCACCCAATCCCACTCATATACATGTTCAACCCACGCTTGAAACAATCGAGGGACCCCACCTCCATCCACCACGTTACGCGGTAATTGGTTCCACAAATCAACAACCCTGTTACCGAACCAGTATTTACCCAAGTCTTTCCTAAATCTAAACTTATAAACATGACAATAGAAGGTAACATGATTATAGGTGATATGACTAGAGGAGACAAAATTACTCCTAAGATCTTCATACCTTTGCTTTTATCGCGCTTCATAACAATTAAGAAAATAATATGTACAGTAGTCATATATTTAAAATACATTACAGAAAACATTAATACTGGAATGACATACTCCCCAGTACTTTTCCGTTCCATTCCAGTACAGTAGTGTGTTATACCCCAGTTCCTGTGTGTTATACCCCAGTTCCTGTGTGTTATACCCCAGTTCCTGTGTGTTATACCCCAGTTCCTGTGTAACATACCACTCCATTTATATTTAATATTAAGCAGCCATTCAGAATAGGAGGAATGGATGACCTCATACGAATTTCCTGAGCGGCCATTTCCGATTCAGGAAGGGGAAGTGACTCTTATATTGGTCAGACGTGAGCGGACCCTCACACTGATTGGTGGGAAGGTGACGGGCAGCAGTGTTCTTACTGGCTATAGTCGTTGGTGGACCTCCGCTCTGATTGGCAGACATCGGAGGAAACGACTTCCGTATTTGGTCATTCATAAGTATATCACTGATCAGGGGCCAGGTTCTTCAAGCAGTTACGCAAGTACTTACGAACCTGGGGATAGATTCACTAAGTAGTTACGCAAGTACTTACGAACCTGTACATCTTTTCTCAATCTTTGGCGGCTTTGTTTACAATTATTAAACAGTTAATGAGCTCCGAAGCACCAGGAGGCTGTTTATAGCAATAACAACATTTGATTGGCAAGTTTTCATGCTTATAAACTGTTTAATAAATGTAACCAAAGGCGTCAAAGATTGAGGAAAGATGTACACGTTCGTAAGTACTTGCGTAACTACTTCATGAATCTGGTCCCAGACTAGTTGAGGTTTGATCTTAACTGCTAGTTAGTTACCTGTCACTTTAAGAAATCTAGATATGAGAGTTACATTAATTATGACGGATAATTGGTCGAGCCGGTCGGCCGAGCGGACAGCACGCTGTACTTGTGATCCTGTGGTCCTGGGTTCGATCCCAGGCGCCGGCGAGAAACAATAGACAGTTTTTTTTCACCCTATGCCCTTGTTACCTAGCAGTAAAATAGGTACCTGGGTGTTAGTCAGCTGTTACGGGCTGCTTCCTTGGGGGTGGAGGCCTGGTCGAGGACCGGGCCGCGGTGACACTAAAAAGCCCCGAAATCATCTCAAGATAACCTCAAGATATTAGAATCCTAGAGCAAATCAAACTAACAGTTACCATCTATTTAATTTTGTAATTTTCTAATAGAGCGGATAAAAGAGTTCTGTATTGTTTCACGAGAGACTTTCATACACTCTCTTTAATATGGAATAAATAAAATGACAATAACAGTCTGACTCCCACATAGTGCCACTTAATTGGTCTATTAACTCATTTGCTAGTTATCTCTAGACGTTTGTTAGTTATGTCTAGACGTTTGCTAGTTATCTCTAGACGTTTGCAAGTTATCTCTAGAAGTTTGCTAGTTATCTCTAGACGTTTGCTAGTTATCTCGAGACGTTTGTTAGTTATCTCTAGACGTTTTCTAGTTATCTCTAGACGTTTGCTAGTTATCTCTAGATGTTTGCTAGTTATCTCTAGAAGTTTGCTAGTTATCTCTAGACGTTTGCTAGTTATCTCTAGACGTTTGCTAGTTATCTCTAGAAGTTTGTTAGTTATCTCTAGACGTTTGCTAGTTATCTCTAGAAGTTTGCTAGTTATCTCTAGACGTTTGCTAGTTATCTCGAGACGTTTGTTAGTTATCTCTAGACGTTTTCTAGTTATCTCTAGACGTTTGCTAGTTATCTCTAGACGTTTGCTAGTTATCTCTAGAAGTTTGCTAGTTATCTCTAGACGTTTGCTAGTTATCTCTAGACGTTTGCTAGTTATCTCTATAAGTTTGCTAGTTATCTCTAGACGTTTGCTAGTTATCTCTAGAAGTTTGCTAGTTATCTCTAGACGTTTGCTAGTTATCTCTAGACGTTTGCTAGTTATCTCTAGAAGTTTGCTAGTTATCTCTAGACGTTTGCTAGTTATCTCTAGAAGTTTGTTAGTTATCTCTAGAAGTTTGCTAGTTATCTCTAGACGTTTGCTAGTTATCTCGAGACGTTTGCTAGTTATCTCTAGACGTTTGTTAGTTATCTCTAGACGTTTGCTAGTTATCTCTAGACGTTTGCTAGTTATCTCTAGACGTTTTCTAGTTATCTCTAGACGTTTCCTAGTTATCTCTAGACGTTTTCTAGTTATCTCTAGACGTTTGTTAGTTATCTCTCGAAGTTTGCAAGTTATCTCTAGAAGTTTGCAAGTTATCTCTCGAAGTTTGCAAGTTATCTCTAGAAGTTTGCAAGTTATCTCTAGACGTTTGCTAGTTATCTCTAAACGTTTGCTAGTTATCTCTAGATGTTTGCTAGTTATCTCTAGACGTTTGCTAGTTATCTCTAGAAGTTTGCTAGTTATCTCTAGAAGTTTGCTAGTTATCTCTAGACGTTTGCTACTTTAGAAGTTTAGTTATGTTTTAGTTAAATTCTCTTTAAAGATGTTATCTTTGAAGTTAAATGTCTTAGAAGTTCTTGATCGTCGAATGTACCAGGTAAGTCCACTACGGGGTCACCATAGCCAGTGCTACTTGCCCCGCTCCTGTGCCAGGTAAGTCCACTACGAGCTCACCATAGCCCGTGCTACTTGCACCGCTCCTGTGCCAGGTAAGTCCACTACGAGCTCACCATAGCCCGTGCTACTTGCACCGCTCCTGTGCCAGGTAAGTCCACTACGGGCTCACCATAGCCCGTGCTACTTGCACCGCTCCTGTGCCAGGTAAGTCCACTACGAGCTCACCATAGCCCGTGCTACTTGCACCGCTCCTGTGCTAGGTAAGTTACAGGCTCACCATAGCCCGTGCTACTTGCACCGCTCCTGTGCTAGGTAAGTTACAGGCTCACCATAGCCCGTGCTACTTGCACCGCTCCTGTGCTAGGTAAGTTACAGGCTCACCATAGCCCGTGCTACTTGCACCGCTCCTGTGCTAGGTAAGTTACAGGCTCACCATAGCCCGTGCTACTTGCACCGCTCCTGTGCTAGGTAAGTTACAGGCTCACCATAGCCCGTGCTACTTGCACCGCTCCTGTGCTAGGTAAGTTACAGGCTCACCATAGCCCGTGCTACTTGCACCGCTCCTGTGCTAGGTAAGTTACAGGCTCACCATAGCCCGTGCTACTTGCACCGCTCCTGTGCCAGGTAAGTTACAGGCTCACCATAGCCCGTGCTACTTGGAACTTTTTGTTCCCAGTAATTGAATCCCAAATAACTTGATGGCGCTTTCCCCTAATAATACCCTCCCGGTTGCTATCATTCGGCTGTGTTTCCCAGTGTTGCAGACGGTGTTGCCAACGCCCAGTGTTGCAGACGGTGTTGCCAACGCCCAGTGTTGCAGACGGTGTTGCCACCGCCCAGTGTTGCAGACGGTGTTGCCAACGCCCAGTGTTGCAGACGGTGTTGCCAACGCCCAGTGTTGCAGACGGTGTTGCCACCGCCCAGTGTTGCAGACGGTGTTGCCAACGCCCAGTGTTGCAGACGGTGTTGCCAACGCCCAGTGTTGCAGACGGTGTTGCCAACGCCCAGTGTTGCAGACGGTGTTGCCAACGCCCAGTGTTGCAGACGGTGTTGCCAACGCCCAGTGTTGCAGACGGTGTTGCCAACGCCCAGTGTTGCAGACGGTGTTGCCAACGCCCAGTGTTGCAGACGGTGTTGCCAACGCCCAGTGTTGCAGACGGTGTTGCCAACGCCCAGTGTTGCAGACGGTGTTGCCAACGCCCAGTGTTGCAGACGGTGTTGCCAACGCCCAGTGTTGCAGACGGTGTTGCCAACGCCCAGTGTTGCAGACGGTGTTGCCACCGCCCAGTGTTGCAGACGGTGTTGCCACCGCCCAGTGTTGCAGACGGTGTTGCCAACGCCCAGTGTTGCAGACGGTGTTGCCAACGCCCAGTGTTGCAGACGGAGCAACATCCGGGAGAGTAAAGTTTCCTGCTTGCTGGTTGGCTTTGGGGAAAAAAAATTATTACATGTCAGTAAAATGACGCAAATCGCTAAGTCAAAGAATTCCTTCATTACCGCCAACGCTCACACACACACAAGAGCCAGAGCTCAACCCCTCCGTAAGCACAACTAGGTGAGTACACATGTGTTTTGTGACGTCACAGCTTCGTTGCTTAGGATCCGTGACGTCACGGGTGTCGATTTATTAGACGCGTGTCAACCGGAAGGTGTGACGTCACGGGTATCCGTAAGTTGCCAGGGGGGGTTACCGGGGTTCCGTGACGTCAAGGATGTCAGGTTTATTCGAAGTGGGAATTAACAGGACGCTGTGACGTCAGTCCTGCGATCTCATTGGCCAGTGCTTCAATGAAAACGATGACGTCATAAATAGATGGGGGGCATATCTTAAGGTCTTAACGTATTGGCCGAAGCACAAGATGGAACTGTGACGTCATTGGTGTTCTCTCACCACCATTGGCCGCCAGGTTATGACGTCAGTGGTAACTGCTTATTGGTCGCGTGTCACCCACACAGGGAACTAATACGTCAGCAGAGGGTTAGCTTATTGGTGGAGGGTGAGCAAGGTCATCCTCCACCATAGGTCAACCGAACGTGGGTGAAGTGGCAACCGCGCCTCGGTTACCGGATACCGCCACAAGAATTTCTGGATCATTATCATGTCTAATTCTGGTCGACTTAGTTCATATTCGATAATATAGTGCTCAGTCCTCCTGTGTAGTTGAGTGCTCAATACCCAACTATGTAGCACAATACACCTATCTCTAATGAGCACAGCCGACGATTATATACATAAATGTGTTTAAATATATATATATATATATATATATATATATATATATATATATATATATATATACATAAATGTGTTTAAATATATATATATATATATATATATATATATATATATATATATATATATATATATATATATATATATATATATATATATATATATATATATATACATATCCAGGCTAGCGCCGAAGGAATTATAACGTAGTTGGGAACGGAAACTAATCCAATCAATTAGTCATTATCTCTTTATTTTTCATTAGTTGTATTCTTTGTTATCGTTTATCTCTCGTTTATCCTTTATATTTACCTATGATCGGAAGAGAGAGGTGAGGGAGTGAGAGAGGTGAGGGAGTGAGGGGAGAGTGACTTAACTCTTTTTCAATAGCCGCGTGGCGCGGTGGTAGCACATTCGCTCCACGCCTCGCCAGAGATGTAAGTCTGCTTCGACCCCCCGCAGGACAGGAAGGTTCAAGAGAACACCAATCCTCGCCTGTTCACCAAGCAGTTATGGGGGGAAATGGTTATAAACAGGTTGGCTGCTTGTTCCAGGGAAAACTAGTTAGGTAAGTCTTTAGATGAAATGTGGAAGAGGAAAGCCTTAAGGCTTCTAACTGGTGTTTAAAGTTATAATGCACACACACACACACACACACACACACACACACACACACACACACTGAGCTCAGGAACCTGTACACCTGTTGATTGACGGTTGAGAGGCGGGACCAAAGAGCCAGAGCTCAACCCCCGCAAGCACAACTAGGTGAGTACAACTAGGTGAGTACACACACACACACACACACACACACACACACACACACACACACACACACACACACACACACACACACACACACACACACACACACACACACACCTGTCTAAAATAGATATAAACTTAATTTATATGTTATTAACCTCATACTAATCCTGTGGGTAACTACAACATACCCCCAAACTATCTAAATCTAACCAACTATCTGTTAGATTCAGCTACTGGAAACGAAAAGTCGCAAGTAGCACGGGCTATGGTGAGCCCGTCGTGGCCTTACCTGGCACAGGAGCGGGGCTGTGAAGTATCTGTAGAGTAAGGAATCTTAGCACGCAACTTACCTAAGAGAGCCGTGGAGGAGAGATGCTGGCGTAGGGGTGACGAAGGGTGAGTTCACCTGGAAAGGTTTATCACACCAGTATGTGCAACTTGAGCGACACTTAAGTGCAAGTCTCGTGCTACACGGGTGAGATTTCCTGAGGTTAGACTTGTCATTCACTTTCCCGCCCCTCGACCAAAGAACTCGGATTTTGAAAACGCGTGACGGAGGAGGTGGGTTTTGTAGCTTCTGTTTTGCACCATAAATGCGCCTTCGAGTCACTGATTGGGCTTCAAATGGACACTTTTAATGCAGATTTTTTTTTTTACGATATCAAGTCGGGTTTCACAGGTCACGATATCAAGTGTGACCAATTTCACAATAGATGAAGTCAGTCCACGACCCACACCACCAGGCGCTCCACTTGCTAATCAATTCACAACTTCGCCTCACAAATCATATTTACAACCCACGGGTTATCACTCTGAGACGCTCTGGACAAACTACAGAACCACACTGAATCACCACTCTGACTCGTAACGAGCCTAGATCACCCACACGACTCTGACCCAACACGACGATCAACTATATATATATCCAGAGGGGGGCTCGGGCAGGACAAGTTGACTACTGATCACCACCACGGTCCAGGACACACTGGCTGCCTGGACACCATCACCAAAATCATCAGAATCCAACGTGGTGGTGGTGAGATTTCCGGGGATCGAACCCCGGGCTCTGCTCCTCGTAACGCGTCGGCGGGGGGAATTACTCACAGGCACTTCCGATGATTCACGCGGAATTCGACGTACTTACGCTCGCTAGGCTGCGACCGTGGGAGGGGGGAGGAGATGCTGGGAGGGACCAACTGTGTGGGTGTGGGTGTGGTGGGAGGGGTAGGGGTGGGGAGGGGTAGTGGGAGAGTCCAACTGGTTCCTGCCTGGGGGACAGGGTGGAGAGGCGTGGGGGGGGGGGGGTTTACTAGTTCATTCCTATACCCCCTCTTCATATATTTCTTTCTCCTTCTCTCCTCTGCTACACTTCCTTATTGCCTCTTTACCTCCGTGCTTTACCCTTGGTAAAGGGGATAGAGAAGGCCCCGAGGAACAGGAGACGATGGAGACACAACACTTCCCTAGGGAGGGGAAACTTCAGGGGAGTCTTCAAACTTGTCAGGGAATTTCTGGGTCTGACGATCGCCGGCTCCAATGACTGGACTCAACAGTTACGTCACAGCCGGTCGTCATTAGTGACGTTATATATATCGTACAAGTATAAGCTAATACGTCAATAACCACTTGTCTCAGTCTCTGCGTTATATAAATAAAACAGGGGTTTTATTATTACACTCAGAGATCACACTAACGTCAGGGTTTTTATTATTTGGGGGATATTTTGTTGTTCAATTCAAGGGGGGAAGGGGAGGGGAAGGGAAGGGAAGGGGAGGAGGGGAAGGGGGGGAGACGAAGGGGGGGGGGGGGAGAGAGGGTAAAGAAGAGAATCAAGTATTTATTAAATGGTTTTCGATCTTCTCGCAGGCGGGTTGAACTCATTAACCTGTTATCACACTTATTGTGCGGAAATTTAAGTGCATTTTTAAACCAACGTGAAAAAAAATCCAATGAAATTACAACCCACTTATTTTCTCGAACTTCGATAGGTTAGTTATGGAAAACTATCATATATTCGACGTTTTGTCAAGTGGTGTATAGCGCAGCCCGTCCTCATAAATAATGACTCTAAAGTCCATTCCAAGCCACCCGCCAAACCCCTAGCTGTTTATGAATGAAAACTTTGTACACACGACTCACAACTGATGACGTCCGAACACTTCCGGAACAAGTGCTTCACTGACGACTTTTGTTCGAACCACAACGCTGTAAATGCTTCACCCACGTACTACCAATACAAATAATCGCCAACAGAACCTATACACCTAACTTAACCTACGCCTAGGTATATATAGAACTTTAATATATAATAATTTAATGTATAAATAAACATATATATATATATATATATATATATATATATATATATATATATATATATGTATATATATATGTATATATATATATATATATATATATATATATATATATATATATATATATATATATATATATATATATATATATATATATATATATATATAAGGAAAGCAGTTGAACACACTTAGATGAACACACAGACAGATGAACACACTCGGGAACTGTTCAACACACTAGTGAGGACATTAAAACATATGGAACAATTGTTCACACTCTTGAGGGGGAAGAAGTTGAACACAGTGGGAACAACCCCTACAAGTATTCAGATGAACACTGTCTAAGCTTACAGGTGAACATTGTTCCTTCCTCTCCCTGGTTCTACTAGTGTTCTAGTGAACACTATCTTTGATCCTACCGATGTTCAAGTGACCATTACCTTTCTGCCACCATTGCAAAGGTAATGAATAATGATTTAGATGAATGCAATGAACATTACATTGCAAGTGGTCAACGGAACACATGCAGGTGTTCAATTGAACAAGCCTAACGGTTCTTGCTAGTTCAAGGTTGAATTAAACGTTTCTAGGTAGAGTTAGCCGTGTCTGTGTAATAACTAACGTTATATGTCTAACATGCCGAGATTAGCTTCAACGTTTTTATGTATAAACGTTTTTATACATAAAAATATAAGTTTTATACGTTTTTATACATATACATAAACGTTTTTGTATAAACGTTATGTATAAACGTTTTTTTATGTATAAAATAACGTTTAAACATTTTTGTGTATATCATTTCTTGGTTTAACTACAATTTTTCAGGCTTAACTGAACGTTTAATGTTTAACTAAACAGTTTTAGACTTAAACGTTTTTTTTTTGCTCTAAGTAAAATTTTTTAACTTTAAACTATTCAGCTTTATCCCTTTTATATTTAACTAAACATTTTTAAGTTCATCTATATCTTTTTACGCTTAACTAAACTAATTTAAGCTTAACTAACCTAATTTAGGCTTCAAACGTATCAAGATCTAATTAAACGTCTTAACTTTTAACTCTCTACACATGTCCTCTCATCTAAGAGAACGTAGCAAGAAGCCAGTCATCGTTAAACGTATTTGAGGAAGAATTGAACGTGTAATGAACCTGAAAGTCTCCAGCGTGCAATCCCTCTCTAGGAAACATTACACACGTGGTTTTGGAAGCCCAGAATTCTGGCTATATGAATATAGCAAAGGCCACCATCTGCCTGTGCTATACTCACCGCCCTCCGCCAGGACTGGGAAAGTCCTGGGGAGTGGGTGCAGAATGCTGGGAAGAAACGGGCCTGGCTTTATACAGACTGGCTTTATACAGACTGACTTTATATAGACTGGCTTTATACAGACTGGTTTTATACAGACTGGCTTTATACAGCTTGGTTTTATACAGCCTGGTTTTATACAGACTGGTTTTATACAGCCTGGCTTTATACAGACTGACTTTACACAGCTTGGCATTATACAGTCTGGCTTTATACAGCCTGGCTTTATACAGCCTGGCTTTATACAGCCTGGCTTTATACAGCCTGGCTTTATACAGACTGGCTTTATACAGACTGACTTTATACAGCCTGGCTTTATACAGACTGGTTTTATACAGCCTGGCTTTATACAGACTGACTTTACACAGCTTGGCGTTATACAGCCTGGCTTTATACAGCCTGGCTTTATACAGCCTGGCTTTATACAGACTGGCTTTATACAGACTGACTTTATACAGCCTGGCTTTATACAGACTGGTTTTATACAGCCTGGCTTTATACAGACTGACTTTACACAGCTTGGCGTTATACAGCCTGGCTTTACACAGCCTAGGTTTATACAGCCTGGCTTTATACAGTCTGGCTTTATACAGACTGGCTTTATACAGCCTGGCTTTACACAGACGGACTTTACACAGCCTGGCTTTACCTCCAACTTGGCCTCATCTCTACACTCTCACTTGAGGAAAATAATTCACAAACCAATGATATAATTTCGTCTGACACCGTCCAGTTTATAAAGTCAATGAACTTGTTCCACGGCCCCTAACTTTATTACCAGCCACTCCTACTTTAGCACAAATATCAACTTTATTGTTAGGAGATACAACTTAATAATGACATAATGAATTAGAGGGGATGCGAACCCCCAACACACCGGCAAGCGCATGCCTTTGACCGCTGTACCACGACATGCAGTGATGTAGCCGAGGAGTCAAGAGGAGTTCTGAGGTGTCCGGATACATGATGTATCCAGATACATGAAGCCTGATGTCACGCAAATCCTGAGATACACCTTCACCTCACTGATGTCAAGTCTCTCACTTTCTATTCCCTGACGTCACATATCTCGTCTCATATTCATGCTGTTTTCCTAACACGTAACACTGTGGGAGATGTTATGCTACACATATTTATAATGTGTGTTAGACTGGTGCTTAATTACCCTTCCTGCCAAACACACACCGAAACTACGACGTTCGAACAAGTTTTAACCCCTCCTAAACCAGTTATAACAACCAATATAGCAAGTTGTAACAACCTTCTAACACGTCATAAACACGTTAAGGCAAGATGTAACAACTTTACTACAAGTTGTAACAAGCGGAAAAATAGAGACAGTTTCGGTTTGTGTTTAAAGGGTTCCCTGATGAGTTAGCATTTTTAAATTTCATAATTTCAGCAACTTTCTCAATTATATTTTTTGTGTGTCGTAGAGTCTCGTAAGCAGGGGCATTGAGTCAGTGCAGAGCCCTTCAAGAGCTCTGACTCTGTGTAACTCTTTATCTCTGATAAACCCTCTTACAAGACACCGTCGTCATCTTCCATTATAAACTACTCTAGTTACTGCTGGTTCTCTTCATCATTAGTTGTTACAAACTCTTATGATTCACAGTTCAGCGAATTAGAACTTTCCTCAAACGTTCAGCTCGACAGTTGCAGAATGTTCTAACTTATCCTTCCTCTTCTCTACTCCAGAATTCCCAAGGTAATATATCCGCTTGGAGAAGGAAAATCCTGAATTGCTGTGTGGCAACACTGATGGTGTACGGGAGCTGCCGGATGGGAGAGAGAGAGAGAGAGAGAGAGAGAGAGAGAGAGAGAGAGAGAGAGAGAGAGAGAGAGAGAGAGATAGATAGAGAGAGAGAGATAAGGAAAGAATGAGTGAGAGACAGATAGAGATAACGGGGTGAGAATAGCCTGATCTACTTCATTCCTTTGCGTGAATCTATACCTCAATAAACTTATTTCAGTTTCAGATAGAGACAGAGAGGCAGAACACTACTGTGGGAAGCCTATCCCGTCCTCCTAAAATGCTCTGATACTTAGAGCAACTGTTTGGACAAACGTAGCAACATGTAGTGTTGACACCCCATAAGTCTCCATGGTGTAGTGGTTAAAACATTCGCCTGGCGTTCCGCGAGCGCTATGTCATGGGTTCGTATCCTGGCCGGGGAGGATTTACTGGGCGCAAATCCTTAACTGTAGCCTCTGTTTAACGCAACAGTAAAATGTGTACTTGGTTGTAACAAGGATTCTTCGCGGCGGGGATCGTATTCCAGGGACCTGCCCGAAACGCTACGCGTACTAGTGGCTCTACAAGAATGTAACAACTCTTGTATATATCTCAAGAAAATTGGAAGATTTTAAAGCAGAATCATGACGTCATGACCTACAAACTTTTTCTCCAGTTTTAGACCCTATAGGAGATAAGCAGAGGTACAGTGAGGCCTGCAACAGAGGTACAGTGAGGCCTGCAACCGAGGTACAGTGAGGCCTGCAACAGAGGTACAGTGAGGCCTGCAACAGAGGTACAGTGAGGCCTGCAACAGAGGTACAGTGAGGCCTGCAACAGAGGTACAGTGAGCCCTGCAACAGAGGTACAGTGAGCCCTGTAACAGAGGTACAATGAGCCCTGCAACAGAGGTAGAGTCAGCCCTGCAACAGAGGTACAATGAACCCTTCAAGAGGTACAGACACTACCGTGAGCGTGCACAACAGCTGCCGTAGAAGGATACCGGCACCAAGAAAGCACTGTGAGAGAGAGGAGCAACAAGTACGGAGAAAGAGTGTGAGGAAGCTGGAACAATAACAGCACACGGAGCCATCTGCTTACTCACACAATTTCTGGGAATTAGACCCGTTTGCTAAGCCACGACATTTCTCGCGGCATATTTAATGTGTGTGTGTGTGTGTGTGTGTGTGTGTGTGTGTGTGTGTGTGTGTGTGTGTGTGTGTGTGTGTGTGTGTGTGTGTGTGTGTGTGTGTGTGTGTGTGTGTGTGTGTGTGTGTGTGTGTGTGTGCTACAGCTCGTGGACCCAGTCATACAGATAATGCAAAACAGGTGCAATGACCTCTATGACTTCCCTCTAATTCTCTCCAACTGCTGTGAATCCACACACTGAGTACTTAACTCCCACACACTACCCAGCCTCCAACATCTCTGGCTCACTACCCAGCCTCCAAACATCTCTGGCTCACTACCCAGCCTCCAAACATCTCTGGCTCACTACCCAGCCTCCAAACATCTCTGGCTCACTTCATAGCCTCCAAACATCTCTGGCTCACTACCCAGCCTCCAAACATCTCTGGCTCACTACCCAGCCTCCAAACATCTCTGGCTCACTACCCAGCCTCCAAACATCTCTGGCTCACTACCCAGCCTCCAAACATCTCTGGCTCACTACCCAGCCTCCAAACATCTCTGGCTCACTACCCAGCCTCCAAACATCTCTGGCTCACTTCCCAGCCTCCAAACATCTCTGGCTCACTACCCAGCCTCCAAACATCTCTGGCTCACTTCCTAGCCTCCAAACATCTCTGGCTCACTTCCTAGCCTCCAAACATCTCTGGCTCACTTCCCAGCCTCCAAACATCTCTGGCTCACTTCCCAGCCTCCAAACATCTCTGGTTCACTACCCAGCCTCCAAACATCTCTGGCTCACTTCCTAGCCTCCAAACATCTCTGGCTCACTTCCTAGCCTCCAAACATCTCTGGCTCACTTCCCAGCCTCCAAACATCTCTGGCTCACTTCCCAGCCTCCAAACATCTCTGGTTCACTACCCAGCCTCCAAACATCTCTGGCTCACTACCCAGCCATGCTGAACTTCCTTCCCCCATTTTAAAGATGGTGCTAGACTGAGTGATACACCACTCTAGCAGCACTCAGTCTAGCACACAGGTCACCATTCTAGCAGCACTCAGTCCTCCCCCTCGCCGAAGCTATTCTCAGCGTCGATGGAACAAGTTCCTTCTACCAGTCGCATATCTCAAACACTTGAACTGACCGTAAACACATACGCGAACTGTGCTGGATGTGAACAGTACTGCAGGGGAAAAGAGGGTTACAGATACGTCTTCGATTGGAGGTCAAAGGTGTCAGGTAAAGTCTGATTTAAGGGAAGAGTTTTTCCATATAGAAGTCGACTATGGAATGAGATCATTACTGTTATTATTGATGTCGAACTTACCTGTGAAGGTGGAGCCAGGCCTCGACCCGGAGCCAGTCGCCAAATGCCTGGAATTGCAGGTGGAGCCAGTCCACCACCCGGAGCCAGACTCCACATGCCTGGAACTGAAGGTGGAGCCAGTCCTCGACCCGGAGCCAGACTCCACATGCCTGGAACTAAAGTTGGAGCCAGTCCTCGACCCGGAGCCAGACTCCACATGCCTGGAACTGAAGGTGGAGCCAGTCCACGACCCGGAGCCAGTCGCCACATGCCTGGAACTGAAGGTGGAGCCAGTCCTCGACCCGGAGCCAGACTCCACATGCCTGGAACTGAAGGTGGAGCCAGTCCACGATCCGGAGCCAGACGCCACATGCCTGGAACTGAAGGTGGAGCCAGTCCACGACCCGGAGCCAGACTCCACATGCCTGGAACTGAAGGTGGAGCCAGTCCTCGACCCGGAGCCAGACTCCACATGCCTGGAACTGAAGGTGGAGCCAGTCCACGACCCGGAGCCAGACTCCACATGCCTGGAACTGAAGGTGGAGCCAGTCCTCGACCCGGAGCCAGACTCCACATGCCTGGAACTGAAGAAAAAAGCCGCGTCTGAGTTCTCAATATTGTATCAACATAGAGGGGAATTAAAGCATGTAAATTACATAATGATTGAGTAATGTGAAGCGAAAGAGAGAAGTGTGTGGTCCCACCGTCGGCCGCCATCCCTGGTGATGTGTGGTATAGGGCTATAATGACTTACCAGTTAGTGAAAACAGCGGGAGAAAACCCACTAGCATACTGTGGGTTTTCTAAAAAACTGTGATTCCGACTATCACGCTGGATTAGAAAGCCCTTAATCCCGGTTATAATAGTGGATTAGAAAGCACTTGATCCTGGATTATATACAACGAGGCTGAGAAGTATGTACCTTTAATATGTCATACAGTTATACAGGCGAGGCTAGACGTCAGGTCATTCCTCATACAGACTCCTTTTAAGGGATGGCTTCGCTCCTTGCAAGGTCGGTGTTCGATCCCCGATGGTCCAAGTGGTTGGGTTCCATTCCTCCGCCCCCTTCGTCTCATATCCCAGCTCCTTGTCCTCATATCCCAGCTCCTTTTTCTCATATCCCAGCTCCTTGTCCTCATATCCCAGCTCCTTGTTCTCATATCCCAGCTCCTTGTCCTCATATCCCAGTCCCTTGTCCTCATATCCCAGCTCCTTGTCCTCATATCCCAGCTCCTTGTCCTCATATCCCAGTCCCTTGTCCTCATATCCCACTTCCTTGTCCTCATATCCCAGCCCCTTGTCCTCATACCCCAGCTCCTTGTCCTCATATCCCAGCTCCTTGTCCTCATATCCCAGTCCCTTGTCCTCATATCCCAGCTCCTTGTCCTCATATCCCAGCTCCTTGTTCTCATATTCCAGCACCTTGTCCTCATATCCCAGCTCCTTGTCCTCATATCCCAGTCCCTTGTCCTCATATCCCACTTCCTTGTCCTCATATCCCCACCTCCTTGTCCTCATATCCCAGCTCCTTGTCCTCATATCCCAGCTCCTTGTCCTCATATCCCACTTCCTTGTCCTCATATCCCCACTTCCTTGTCCTCATATCCCAGCTCCTTGTCCTCATATCCCAGCTCCTTGTCCTCATATCCCAGCTCCTTGTCCTCATATCCTAGTTCCAGAATACCTCATCCTTTGTCCCCCCCCCCTCTCCCTCATCTTCCCCTCATTTCTCATCACCATAACCATCTTCTCTATTCGCTATTTGTATCATTTTTACCCGAATGAATTTAGTTCATCTTTTCCAGTAATTCTTGAAAACGCGCTGTAAACTCTACGGAAAATCAGTCTACGATTTCATGTCAGAATTCAGGAAAGTCGCACGAGGGGGAGGGGACTGTTACATATGCCGACCCGACCAGCATATGTAACATATATATGTAGCATACATATGTCCGTCCCATATCCCAGACCTTTCACCCTGCAAAGTTGGGTGAGGCTAGGCCCAAGTCTGTCCTCCAAACTTGGACAGAGACAGACAAATCTATGTACTTTATGAGGGTTCGTTCATATCCATGAACGAATATATATGTATATATATATATGTATATATAGATGATATAGATGATACATATATATATATATATATATATATATATATATATATATATATATATATATATATATATATATATATATATCCCATATTTTCGTGTATATCCCAACAACTGCAAAATACACTAAGCAGCCTGACCATCATCTTGATTGATTGATTGATTGATTGACGGAGGTAAAGCCACCCAAGAGATCACGACCATCACCTGTTGTTGTTTTAGATTCAGCTACTTATAACAAAAGTTCCAAAGTAGCACGGGCTATGGTGAGCCCGTAGTGGACTTACCTGGCACAGGAGCGGGGCTGTAACTCTGATTAATAACCCCCTATCACCTGGACTCTAGTAGTAATTATAGTAGAGGCCAGGTGAGGCGGCTCTTATGGCCTAGAATTATACACACAGAGACACTACAATCCTCTCGATAATTACAGCACAAAGTTATCTTTAGTTAAGTTATCTTAAGTTAATGACAGTTATCTCATTATCACAGGTCTCTTACCTCATCCTATACAACAAGAACTATTCTATGAATACCCTAGAAGCTGGTACCCAAGAGTGAGGCATAAACACTATCTTTAAATAAGACATATGTGGCATTAATACATTTGTCGCATTAAGACTGTCACATTCCTGGGAGTGTAAGCGCCCGCCTGGTGGCCGCGCGGGGAACTACTTGGTGTCAACAAAGAATCCTTGACACACACACGCAGACAACTTCCTCGACAGTCTAGCACGCTGTATAGCGGTCTTCTTGCGCTTTTTCTGGTTTGGGGTTCGAGGTGGTGATTATATGACTCAACGGTAAGATTTCTCCTTAGTCAGCCTGGGGTGGCACGGGCGGCCAGGGTGCCTGTTGGTCAAGGTGGAGACGATTGTGCATCTCTGGTTGATATGTAATGGTGTTGGACCTGTGTCTCCTTGCAACCCGTTCTCGCACTTGCTTATAGTCAATATTGGCTTGTTTAATAAGTGCATATGTGACATACTAATTGATTGTGAATATTTTAGTTTACCTTGAAAAGCTTCAGAGAAAACACCGACCTCACCTAACCTTCTTAGTATGTTAAGATAAGCATCTTATTGCTTCATATTTATAATTATTACTTAACCTATCAACGGTATAGGTTAAGTAATAATTGTAATTATTACTTAACCACGTCACCCAACCCAAGACAGGTTGTGTGACGTGGTGGTTCCCGCTCGTCAAACAGATCTGAAGCACTTCGTTTCCACGTGATGGGCAGTTAAGGTACACCTGTTGTTGGTGTTGTTTAAAATTCGCTACTTGGAACACAAAGTTCCAAGTAGCACGGGCTATGGCGAGCCCGTAGTGTAAGTTACACAGCTGCACATATCCTATTAGCCCAGGCAGCTACGCATTTCTCTACCGACACATTTGTGCATCTTCTGCTAGTTTATGTATTTTGTAATTTAATGTTTGACCCGAAAGCAAGTTTATTGGATAGTGACACACACTGTTGCTATCTATAGCAGCATATACACCGGCTTCTTATGTATATATATATATATATATATATATATATATATATATATATATATATATATATATATATATATATATATACATATACATATATATATATATATATATATATATATATATATATATATATATATATATATATATATACACATATACATATATATATATATATATATATATATATATATATATATACATATACATATATATATATATATATATATATATATATATATATATATATATATATATATATATATATATATATATATAACTGGAACACTTGATGATATACTGTACCCAATATTTACTATGTAATGCTTAACATATGCAATATATGTGTGATACTATTAAAACATGACCTCGTCTAAGCACTTCAATCACCTTGTGAGGTAATTGAACTCTGCCAGTTACCCTGGAAACTAGCTGAGTGCACTCGGGTCCCAGTCAGTTCCCCCCCAGGTGTTGCTGAGTGAAAAGGGATGGTAGTAATTACCTAAGTGTAATTACCTAAGTGTAGTTACAGGATGATGAGAGCTACGCTCGTGGTGTCCCGTCTTCCCAGCACTCTTTGTCATATAACTCTAGTGTGTCTTTGGATAAGATACACGTGACTTGAATTGTGAAGGACTCGAGGTAAACGAGAGCCGTTGAACCCCCTTTAACATAGATTCATTAACCCCCCCCCCAGCCTCGTTAACTGGTGAAACCCTATGGTGGTAATTACAGCTACACCTGCACGTGGTGGCTCATGTCTACACCTGTGCTTCTGGCTCTGGTCAGCATCTGCTCTGGTAGCTTGCACATCTGTGGCAACACTGGTGGCTTGCACGTCTGTGCAAGTGTGCACTGGGCACTGAACCTGAGCTGATGGCTATGATTGGCAGCTGCTCTGAAAGCTCACACCTTAACACCTGTATTCCTGGCACACATCTGTGCTTGCTTTTCTTGTTCATTCATCAGCACCTGCGATGTTAATACACACATGTACACTATTAATACATGTGCACTATTGATGGGCACATGTGCACTATTGATGGGCACATGAGCACTATTAATGGACACATGTGCACTATTAATGGACACATGTGCACTATTGATGGACACATGAGCACTATTAATGGACACATGTGCACTATTGATGGGCACATGAGCACTATTAATGGACACATGTGCACTATTAATGGGCACATGTGCACTATTAATGGACACATGTGCACTATTAATGGACACATGTGCACTATTAATGGACACATGTGCACTATTAATGGATACATGTGCACTATTAATGGACACATGTGCACTATTAATGGACAACATGTGCACTATTGATGGACACATGTGCACTATTAATGGACACATGTGCACTATTAATGGACACATGTGCACAATTGATGGACACATGTGCACTATTAATGGATACATGTGCACTATTAATGGATACATGTGCACTATTAATGGATACATGTGCACTATTAATGGATACATGTGCACTATTGATGGACACATGTGCACTATTAATGGATTACTATTAATTGTTTACAATTAGTAAACAGTTAATGAGCTCCGAAGCACCAGGAGGCTGTTTATAACAATAACAACAGTTGATTGGCAAGTTTTCATGCTTGTAAACTGTTTAATAAATGTAAACAAAGCCGTCAAAGATTGAGGAAAGATGTACATGTTCGTAAGTACTTGTGTAACTGCTTCGTGAATCTGGCCCCCAGGTTCGTAAGTGCTTGCGTAACTGCTTCGTGAATCTGACCCCAGGTTCGTAAGTGCTTGCGTAACTGCTTCGTGAATCTGGCCCCAGGTTCGTAAGTGCTTGCGTAACTGCTTCGTGAATCTGGCCCCAGGTTCGTAAGTGCTTGCGTAACTGCTTCGTGAATCTGGCCCCTAGTCTCTACAGGGGAGTGAGTTGTAACTTTGTCTGCCCCGACTGATAGCCTCGTGTCTGTTGCATTACAAGGTAACTGATTTGACGTCCATTCAAATTCTTTGTCGAATCTGGGCCTAAGGAGGTGGCTTCCACAACTTCTTTCAATGCATTC